ATGTGAAATGAAGTTATGGTCTTTGTTTCCTTCAGTAGCTCAATTGGTAAAGCAAAGAATGATAGGCTTAATTTTTTGGGGAATCCTTAGGTCGCTGGTTCAACTCCGGCTCCAAGGAATTAGCTTTCGTTGCCTTCGTTACATGCTTTAGCACTCGAATGGGTTACCGAGGGAGGTGGTGGAATCTCCATCCTTAGAGGTTTTTATGGCCCAGCTTGACAAAAGTCCTGGCTGGGATGATTTAGTTGCTGTTGGTCCTGCTTTGAGCAGGGGATTGGACTAGATGACCTCCTGAGGTTTCTTCTAACCCTAATATTTTATGAAATTCCCAGAGGATAACTGTCTACAGCATACAAACAATGATTGTAACCAAGAGCAGAATGGTCATGGAATATAAAATGTACAGATGAAAAGCCATCTAGTTCATCTCTCTCTCTATGCTGGAGGTCCTTCTCCTAGCACTTTTCCTAGTGCTGTGTACAAATAAATTTTAAATATGTCAATCAATGGTCAAGCACTACTTGCCCCTTCTCACTCATTAATAGAGCTGGGTGAATTTTTTTGGATGAACAATTTATTCATTAAAATGAAGATTCGACCAAAACTATTTGCAACTTCCTGGCATGGTCACAGATTAGTTTTGTCCAAAACAACAAGGGCAAAACTTTCTGGTAATGTTGAAATGAAACATTTCATTTTGGCATTACCCATACATTTTGTTTAAATTTTGCAGGCATTTTGACAAAAGCAAAAGAAAGGATTCATAAAACAGCTGGAAGGGGCAGGTGGTTGCTACCACCTCCCTCATGAGTTTTAGCTCAATGGGTGGGGCTCTAAATTGAGATGTCAGAGACCCAGGTTCAACTCCCCCATGCACCTGATGTAGAAAAGGGATTTACACTTGAGTTTCCCACATTGCATAAGTGTGCCCTAGCCACTGGGCTATGGGATATTTTAGTATGGGCATTCTGAAACTGTCTCAATTTTTATAAAATAATTAGTCACTGGAAACTTGAGTCTCTAGGTGAGTGCTCTAAGCACCAGGTTATATTCATCTTCACTCTCTTTTTCCTTATCCAGTGTCAATCATAGTGGCAATTCAAGTCCCTACCGAAAATCCTTCTCCACTATATCTTTCTCTTTATATCCATCAGTGTTCCTCCAACAGATCCATATCAGTGGTTACTACTTGATAATTTTATTTTAATGTTTCTCTCACCAGCCATTTGTTTTCCCTTCTTAGGTTGGTTATCTTATTTAAAGGATAGTTTTACAAAGATTTAATTCTTTAAAATTCTCTTGCTTTGACATCTTCTGTATTTCAGTGTTTGACTTAAAAAAAATCCTCCTCCACTTGGCTGCCATGCTGAGTCCACCTACATGGAACAGCTCAGTTTGCTGGCTACTTCTGCCCTTACTTGGAACATTAGGTTACATAGCCAAATGTGGAGGGCAATTACCGAAGAGGCTGTCAAACCTGCCAGAGTCTGATGGAACTGAAACAGATGGGCAGCAGAGAAGGTAGGGCCAGCCGCTGGTGCTATGCCTCAATCTTCCCTGCTCACTACAGGGCCCTTTTTGTACCCCCCTTCCTGCAACTATGCTCACCATCAACAATTTCCGTGCCCTTGACACACTATAACCAGCCCCCACCTAGGGGCAGAGGAGTTTAAAAGGGTCCCCACTGGGACTCCAGAGCCAGGACTCAGTAACCAAGGTATTTAGGAGTACTACTATGTGGCACTTATACTGTATGTGCAGTTGTATTAAAAATACCAGTTTTCAGCAAGCCCATGAGGATTCTATGGCCTCTTTATGTAACCAATGAACTAGGTATACCTCTGTCCTCTGAACGAATGATTTGAGCAAGTGCCGCTCCACCTTAGCTATATTTGCACCCTCAGACTCATATTGAATCTAGCCAATAGTGCAATTTTGAACATTTGTCACTTGCAGATTTAAGAAAGGAGAAAACTAACTTTAGCAGTTTATCATGGCTTGTATTTTAATTGCTCAACAAAAACTCTTATGTACAACACTAACAAATAGCTCCATCCATAATTCTTGTGTGAATCCTTTCAGCATTCACTGTTTACAAAACAATTATAATATGCATATGAAAATTGTTTTGTAACCTGTTGCAATGTCTGTTAATCAAAAGTAGATACTACAAAAGTCAGTTAGATGGTTTTAATGTCAAACAAAACATCACCAATTTAAAATCTCATTTTTACATAATTTCTGTGTAAATATTGGTGACAGATTATGAATTTTATTAGTGATATTTTTATATTTACACAAATAGATATTTCATCAGCATAACTGTATTTAGTGTTCTTAGCACTGATTAAATTAAATATGTTTGTTAGTTAATATGCAGCAATATTCTTCCTTTCTACTCCTTCTCACAAAACTATTCAATCTTGTAACTTGGCCTCTGTCCTTTGTAGAGACATAACATTCTAGAGTGGCATATTCAATTTAGAGATTTCCACATTTACAACCTTTTAGAATTTGCAACAACTTTTTTGCCTCCTACGTGGTGCTTGGCTGTGCCTTCATAAGTCTTCTGTGAGCTCTTCAAACTGGTGCTTCTGAAAGGTGACTTTACACATCTCCCTGTGCCACTGTTCTCCCTAGCCTTATTCCTAGCAACCCAGAACCAGCTAAGCACTTAAGCATGTGCTTAACTCTAACTATGTGAGTAGTCCCCTTAAAGTCAGTAAAACTATTAATTCACAAAGTTAAAGGGTTGCTTTGCTGAATTGGAGTCATAACAATGTTACTGCAACAACCTCCTGCACACACTGTACTGAGACACCGTGGTTAGCACCTAGCTTTGCAAATTTTCTTCTGTACACTTGAGCTCTATCATCCATGCCCCAGGCTTAAAAATACTAGAATATCTTTATCCAGCAGCTACCTCTTGGTAGGCACAGATTCTTGTGGTTTTATCCAGTATCCAGGTGCTACAAAGAAAGAGAGAGATCATTTATTATTTGTTTCTGGCAGTGCCCACAACATGCTCAACTAACAATCATAGCAATATTTTAAAGAAAATGGACTACATTCGTCATTAGGCACAAAGCTCCTGACTTCAATGTTCAATGCTGTTTCACTCGATTTCATCAGTGGTCAATTTGATCCCATGACTCAATAACAAGCTGAAGAAGAAGACCCTGATTATGGAGTCCAGCCCATGTAGTCTTCTCCTCTAACCAGAGCACTGATTCAGCAAGGTACTTAATTACATGAGTAGTCCATTGATTTCAATGGGATTATTCAGATGCTTAATGTTAAGTGCACAAACTCATAGACTTAAATGCCAGAGGAGACCATCATGATTATCTACTCTGACTTCCTGCACATTGCAGGCCACAGAACCTCACCCACCCACTCCTGTAATAGACCCCTAACCTCTGAGTTACTAAAGTCCTCAAATAATGATTTAAAGACTTCAAGTTACAGAGAATCCACCATCTACACTAGTTCAAACCAGCAAGTGACCTGTGCCCCATGCTACAGAGGAAGGCAAACACCCTCCTGCCCCCCCAAAACAGGGTCTCTGCCAATCTGACCTGGGGGGAAAATTCCTTCCTGACCCCAAATATGGTGATCTTTTTTAGGGTATGTCTACACTACAAAATTAGGTTGATTTTATAGAAGTTGATTTTTAGAAATCGATTTTATAGTCGATTGCGTATGTCCATACTAAGTGCATTAAGTCGGCAGCGTGCGTCCTCACTACTACGGCTAGCATGGACTTACGGACCGGTGCACTGTGGGTAGCTATCCCACAGTTCCCGCAATCTCCATGCCCATTGGAATTATGGGTTAAGCTCCCAATGCCTTATGGGGCAAAAACATTGTCGTAGGTGGTTTGGGTACGTGTCGTCAATTGCCCCTCCCTCTGTGAAAGCAACGGCAGACAATCGTTTTGCGCCAGACACCAGGGCGATTAGAAGAGCACAGCAAGGCATTCTGTGCATCAGAGAGGCTTTGAAAACCAGTTTCATGACTGGCCAGGCTTCGGTGTGACAGTTGTGTGTGTTTCTCCTTGATGCAAACCCGCCCCCTTTGTTGATTTTAATTCCCTGTAAGCCAACCACCCTGCCCCCTTTGAAATAAAGCAACTATTGTTTTGAAACCATGCATTCTTTCTTTATTAATTTTTAAAAAATGAGATAATGGACAAGGTAACCCAGGTGGGGTGGGGGAGGAGGGAAGGACAAGGCCACATTGCTTATTGTAGCTACACTAAAAATCAAACTGTTTGAATGACAGCCTTCTGTTGCTTGGGCCATTCTCTGCAGTGGAGTGGCTGGGTGCCAGAGCCTCCCCTCCCCACCCCCACCCCACGTTCTTGGGCGTCTGGGTGAGGAGGCTATGGAACATGGGGAGGAGGGTAGGTGATTATACAGTGGATGCAGCGGGGGTTCTGTGCTCTTGTTGGCTTTCCTGGAGCTCCAACAGACGCTTCATCATGTCCATTTGCTCCCCCGTTAGCCTCAGTATCACACCCTGCCTCCGCTCTTCACGCTCATTTAATTCTTTCCTGGCCTCTGCCACTGAATGCCTCCGTGCATTAAGCTGTGCCCTATCAGTGCGGGAGGACAGCATGACCTTGGAAAACATGTAATTGCGAGTGCACTTTTTCCACCTTCTAATCTGTGATAACCTCAGGGACGGAGATGATAGGGGGAGTGTAGAAACATTCTACGCTCTACGATTCTGGGGGGACTGCATGGTCACCTGTGCTGCTGAGTTCACCATGCTGACCAAACAGGAAATGAAATTAAAAAGTTCCTGGGACTTTTCCTCTGTACCTGGCTAGTGCATCGGAGTTCAAAGTGCTGTCTAGAGCGGTCACAATGGAGCACTCTGGGATAGCTCCCAGAGGCCAATACCATTGATTTGCGTCCGCACTACCCCAAATTCGACCCAGCAAAGTCGATTTTAGCGCTACTCCCCTCGCCAGGGAGGAGTACAGAAGTCAATTTTAAGAGCCCTTTAGGTCGACGGAACGGGGTTGGTTGTGTGGATACATTCATTTTTAAATCAACCTAATGCTTCTAAATTCGACCTAACCCCATAGTGTAGACCAGGCCTTAGACTCTGAGCAAGGCATCTGCCAAGACCCAGGAGCCAGACACCTGGGAAAGAATTCTCTGCAGTAACTCTGAGCCCTCCCCATCTAGTGTTCCATCATCAGCCTGTGGAGATATCTGCTACTAGGTAAATGCTTAAGTGCCTTGTTGAATTGGAGCACCAACGTTCTAAACTTGACTATGAAGAGGCCATTTACTGACACAAACCTTTCTATGATACACATCTCATGATTAAATTTATTGTTCCCACAACTGTCAAACTGTATTTGAATATGGCACGATTTCTGCTTGTTAGCTTTCAAGTTGTTTCCCTTTTTTTAATCAAGCCCATCACTTCCTCCCCAATTCTCTCCTCTGGATAATTTCATGTATATTTCTAATTTTGAATCCAAAGATGAAAAGTCAAAATATAAATCAGTCCCCAAATGAATTATATACTTGGCTGAACATCAAGCCCCCATACGTTCTTCATGAATACTTGTACTGCTTGTCCCTTGCAGTCCAAGTGACGTAAATTCTCCACCAACGAGACCTCATTATTCACCCCCAGGAGAACAACCTATCATCTGATATTTTGAATTACATAATGAATTATACAAACTTCCTATAGGACCCTACACACCCACTATCTATTTTCTCCTATCTTTACCATCCCTAAGGGGGGGGGTCGTCTCTCTTGCCTCCCCATACAAATTCCATTTCACTGCATGTTCCCTTAATGACTAATTTACTGGGGGAGGGGGGGAGAGGAGGAAGCAGTTACTGCTAATTGATTACCACAATTAAACTGAACTGCACAATCTTTTCTTTTCAGCATAATCATAGCTAATGTTCAACAGTTCATTTAAATCCTTTCTAGTTAATCTTCAATTACGTTTCAGGTATATAAGTCCCTTGGCTCTACTTCTACTAGAGAAGGTCCTTCTTTTCTTTTTTCACTCTCCTTTTCTTCAGTTTCACTGTCTGACATTATTTTTTGACCAGCTCTTCAACAGCTGCTACCACAAACTTTTGCATGCTAGAGCTTTGGATCTCTATCCAGAGTGTAGTTTTCCCTTCCCTAGAGACTCTCGCTGTACAAATCTGATGCTAGAAGCTGAATGGAAATTCTCTGCTACAGAAAATCTCTGCCCTTCTAATTGCGGCTTTAATTTTACTCAACTCTTTACTCTTTTTAAAAATTAGAGCAGAAGATCTAGGAGAAACTGAAGATTGTGGCCTTGGAGTATAGACTCTGGGGGCTATCTCACCTTTTTTCATAATCAAGACTTTTTTTGGTAATGGCGAAAACTCATAATGAAATCCCTGGATCTGCTACTAGCCTAAAGCGGGGTATTCTATTTTAATCTCTTCCACAGACATGAAATTTAACAACTAATTCATAAAGGTTTGTAAAAAGAGAATATGATTTTCTTCATATTTTCAGACACTTTTTAAATTCTCATGTCCCTTCTTCTCTCTTTTGGCTCCAGCAAATTTACACAGAGAAGAAGCAGCTTTCTCTCTTCTCTGATATTTCTCCCAATGCAGCATCCAGCCGAAAAATTCTATACTCACTTCCTCTTTGATTGCAGAAATCTTGGAGAATAAATCCGTCCTCAGTGCTGTGAATTCATACTGTAAATCTCTGATATCTGCTTTAGTAGTCAAATGACTTTAGCCTTGTATCCTTTGCCTGTTATGGGAGCCATGCTTTCTGGCGCTCTGCTTTTGGGGTGTTACAGTGAGGTTAGGGTATGGATGGAGACAGATTATTCAACAGAATAATCCGCTCTGAGCTCAGACAACTGTTTTGCTTGGGTCCCCATAGGTTGGTCCTCTCTTCTGAATTTTAAGGGTGAAGAAGTAAGTTAATGTATGTTTCTCTGTGTTGTACTGAGCTAGGTTACAAGATGCAATGTTTTCAGGGAGAGATGACATAACTGAAGTACAAATAAACCTTTCTTTCAACAATAAACTTTATTATGAAACAGGTTGGCTGCCAAAAATATAATATACACATCAACTTTTCCAAAGGTTCTTGTAGTGAATTTCATATATATTTGCCAGAAGCAGTGACCTTGGCAGGAGGTGCTGGGTACTGGTGGGCTGAGGGCACAGTCAGTCAGCAATTGAGTTTATAGTTCCAAAAACCCATTAAAAAGCAACAGGTGGAACAATCTGTCATCCTTCCATAAGTTTGTCTCACGTTGCATTTAGTTAGACATGTAATCACCCATTTATTTCTTACTATTCTACTAGTACTTTTCCTGCCTGTTTTCCTTGTACTACATTTCCTTAAACCTGTATACTCTCTCTAATTCCACACACAGATCCTCCTTGCTTTTGTGCTTGTTTTTGATTATTCTGGGAGTGTGGACCTGGGCGGGCAGTCTGCACACCTTCCCTGAAGACCTGGATCATCCACTCCAGTGGCTGAATTAAAAATAAGGAAGTTGGTAGTTATAGCACTCCATCACACTGGGAATGCAAACTATTTTGAGAAAGATAACAATGTCAATACATTTTGAATACCAAGCTTTAGTGTAAGCACCTGGTCCCTAGAGTGCAATGGTAAGGTCAGCCTCCTTCTTACAGGCTCATGTTCAGGACTTGTCCCTAGAAAGAGTGATAGGGGAAGCTACTAATGGGGCAAGAAGAGGTTTGGGGACATGCGATGATCAGAGCAAATTTAGTAATTATTTAAAATTTAGGCAGCTGAATTGTTACAGGCAGCCATTTCTCTGGGAAATATCACCTTCCTCAAATTTCCCTCCAGAGGAAAAAAGGAATTATTCCAAAGAGTTAGTGATAATCCTCACACAAATGCTGCAGTATTATTTTCCCATATGGTTACCCCACAGCTGTTCATGGATTGGAGGGACTTTATTAGCCACTGTAGGGTCCCAGGGATAAGCTAATTGTCATATAATTTAATAAAAAAGTTTTTCTATAGTTTTTCCCCATTTACAGAATAAGGAGAACACCACACATGACAGATGCTACTCATGATACTAAATGCACTTCTGGAAGGTGCTCAGACTTCCTGTTGATAGGCGTGGTCTAAGAATCTAAATAAAACAGATTAGTCTAGAAAGATTGGAGTATAGGCATTTCTCTGATATTGCCGTTTAAGACTGTGCTACAGCCTAGGGAAAATAAACAGAATGGTATGCTAGGCTGCTTGTGGTTGTTGCACCTCAATAGATGTCCAAAATTGTGTTTACAATTGTCTAAAATTATCTGTCTTGCAGTTGCTTGGACGTTGCTGTTTGAAATGTCAGCACGATGCTGCTCTTTATGTCTGCAAACCAAAGATGTGACTGTCAGCTCTTGGCCTCATCAGGTGGGTCTTCAGTAGCTCAGCCCTCCAGCCAAATCGCAAACAGTCCAGTGCATGAAGGAACTTCTTCTGGAGTAACAAAGTTTCAACTAATGGTTAGACCCCTTCAGGGTCTTCAGCCCTGTCCCGGAGCCTTTTTAAACTCCCAGCCCCTTTCTTGGGCTTTTAATGCAGTGCCTTATCCCTTCCTTGGGGCTTAGGCCACTTCGCCAGTCGGGGGACCGGGGCCCACCCACTACTCCAGGTCCCAACCCAGGGATCCTACAGACAGCAGCCACATACTGCTTCCTCTAATAGTTGCTGCTGTGATTCCCTGGGCCGCTTCCCACATAGCCCCTTCTGCTTCACCCTTAACTCAGGGCTGAAGTTCTCAACTCTTCTCCTTACTCACCAAATGCCAATGCCACCAGAACCCATCTTCTGGTTCTCCCTTGAGCTTCTGAATTTACGGAAAGCAGAGTTTCTCCAGGTGGGTCTTGAGACACTCACTAGCAACGTCCAAATGATCCCCTCTTTTTTCTACCCAGAATGTAACAGGCAGGGCTCAGCACTGATGTTCGTGTACTGCAAAAATGCAGCGCAACATGTACAGTACCCACTACTCCACTAAGTAGCCTATTTGATGACCACAAGAGGTGAGAAATTGGTCTGCTTCTAGGGATAGACAAGGAGCAACCTTAGCTATCTCATTATGCGATTGAGACCTACCTCATATGAAAAACACGCCCCCGTGGCTTTCAATGTAAAATGCAATACATTGTTAATTTAAAAACTTTTTGAATTAACCAAATACACACTAATCTGTTTGAAACCCATAAATACTATCCCTATATACAAATCTTATAAACTCTCTGCCTTTTTACTTTGAAATCTTCACTACAGTCTGAAAGAGAGAGAAATGCAGGAATCTTTAAACCAACACATAGCATGTTTGCATATACTGTACTTTACCCTGGTTTAAGAAAAATTGCTTGAAGTTGATCCGACAACATATGAATAATACTTACACTGAGAATTGCCAGGAGGTCTGGTATTACTAACACTACTCTCAAAGGAAGAGTGAAAATTGTGTATGGTTTCCTGTAAAATCTGCCTCTCTCGTCCCTGTAAAAGAAATAGATTTAAACAAAAAAGGCATTCTTAAATTTCTCATTCAATAATTCATTTATTAGGGTTAAACACAGATATGAAAATTTGTGTCTATCCTGGAAAGCAATTATCATATTGAAAGTGTAATGAATTGAACATAATCAAAAATTATGCCCTGCAAACACAGAGTAATATATATTTAATTTTTTTTTATTTTATTTTCTTAATGTTGGAAATTATAGAATTCAGATTTACTTGGATTTAAAACAAACAAAAAATCAATTCTGTTTCCCTACTTTACCTTCACAGAACCATACTGTAGACAGTGTGCGCCCAGCTTCATGGCCATGGAACCTATTGGGAATAGCTGGTAGATAGAGATGCAAACATGTTCTTCTAGCCCTACATTCCATGCGCACAAAGTATAAACAGCACATTTCCTGTCAAGGTCCTTCATTTCCACGCTCTACCAGCTGTAAACCAATCCTCTTCCTTTTCATCAGGATAGTAGGGCAATTTGTAAGATTTAATTTTTTCATAACTTTAGGATTTTTTAAATAGTTTCCACCATTTTTCATCAAGTTTCTCCCTGTTTTATGCTGTATCAACTTTAATCAACAATGGCAAATCTATCCAAAACCTTGGATTTTAAGAAAACTTGGCTTTTATTCCTCTAAACTCTCTGTTTCTAACAGATACGAAATATGGCTGTTATGCGTAGTGAAGTACATTCAGACAAAGCTGTGAGGTCTAGAAGTGCTTTTCAAAAAAGGCTAAAACAGACAAACAGATTTGTCTCCAGAATTTGCCCTTACGAGAGGTTCTAGAAATATATGAATGGGAGAGATCTTTCTGAAACTTCATAGATTTACTTGTCAATTCTCAGAAAATCCATTCTGTGCTCAAAAAGTATGTGTTGTAACTTTAGGGAGGACATGCTATATTCTTAATATGAGGTTATATCCCTACTTTAAGGGCAAAACACAATTCAGCCTTAACTATGAAACCCAGTAAGAGCTGATGTAAAGACCTGCACAAAGAAAATCATTTACAGTGCTGTGACATTCCCCTCTGCTGTTATCTGGACTGGTGATCTGCTGGGTCACCCCAATCCTTGACTCTGGGAACCAGCCTTACCCTCTGCTGTGAGAACCCCACTCCTGGGCTGTTCACGCAAAGCCGCTGGCATGTTAGCTGCTCCCAGCCACTTGCAATTGAATGACACTAGACAATATCTCCGCTCCCAGACACAACCCTAGGAACCTTCATCTTGCAGTGTCCAGTTATGCCCGCTGGACACTGCAAGCTGGAGTTGTGTCTGGGACCAGAGATATTGGCTAGAGTCATTCGGTTGCAAGTACCTGGGAGCAGCTGACATGCCAGAGGCTATGTGTGAACAGTCCAGGAGTGGGGGTTCTCACAGCAGAGCAGGATAAGGCTGGCTCCCAGAGTCAAGGATTGGAGGGACCTAGCAGATCACTGGTCCAGATAACACCAGGGGTGAACATCATAGTGGTGCAGTGAGCAGGATGTATGTTCAGCTTGTTACTCCAAGTGAAGTTCACAATTTAAACACTGATATTTGTAATTTTAAGTGAGGCTTAAGTGCAGTGGCTAAGAACAGTCAGGAGGAGGTCAAGTTTTGTTATTTTCTGTTCGCTTATTTCGGGAAAGGGAAGTAGGAACAGAAATGCAGGAAAATTAGTGAAAGCAGTAAAGCGATTGCGAAGTTGGAACTTTTTAGACTGCGGATTGCAGAAAATGAGACGGAGCACCAGAGATTATTGCAACTGAAAGAACTGGAGATAAAGGAAAAAGAGAGAGAAGAAAAGGAAAAAGAGACAGCCAGGGAGGCAGCCAGAAAGGAGGCTGCACACAGAAGGGCCATGAAAGAAAAAGAGAGAGAGAGAGAGACAAAAACACCAACTGGATCTGCTAGAGAAGCAGAATAAGAACCCCTCCAACCCCAATGACTCCCATCACTCCAAAAATGGGAACACTTATGTCCTGCATGCAGTGAGGAGGATGATATTGCTGAATATCTGACTATCTTCAAAAGGCTGTGTGTAATACATGAAATCCAGATAATAAGAGAGATCCTACCCTGATTGCAAAATTAACTGGTAAAGCTCGAAATGTATTCAATCGAATGCCTATTGAAGATGCTTTAGACTATTGTAAATTTAAAGATACTGTTTTGCGAAGTTTTCAGATTACCCCTGAAGCATTTAGAGTTAAATTTAGGAATCTTAAGAGGGATCCTGGTATGAGTAATGGGGAATATGTAAACAAAATGAAAGATTTGTTGGGAAAATGGGTGGGAGCAAAGATGTGGCAAGTTTTGAGAGAATGTTGGATCTTCTTGCTCAAGAGCACTTCCTAAGCATATGTAAGGCTGATGTAAAGCAGTGTCTATGGGACAAAGATGTGAAGTCTGTGGATAAGATGGCTTTTTTAGCTGATGCCTTCAAACAGAATCAGGCATTTATTGAGGGCAGGCCACAGAAAGAGGGGTTTAAAACTGGTGGGAAGGGAGGATCTCATTTTGCCACTGGGAAGAGAGAAGGGGATTGGAAGCCTAAACATTCTCTTACCAGTAGAGGAATGTTTTTGGGTAACTCTCATCCCAAAACCCCTGTAAAAGGAGAAGAGCCCAAAAGGTGCTATCAGTGTAATTCCACTGATCACCTGAGGAATAAATGCCCTGGGATAGGAGGAAGCAGGCAAACAATAGCTCATGTTAGTTGTGCTGTCCTCAACACAGAAACCCCCCAAGCAGTTGAAACCTATCATATTGCTTCTGTGAGGTTAGCCTCTGCAGAACCAGATATGGAGCATGTTAAGGTTGTCCAAATTAATGGCAAGGAGTACTTGGGGCAGAGGGATATAGGGGCCCAGATCTCTCTGGTTAAGCAGAGTGTGGCCCCAAAGACCAGTATGTTGCCTGGCCAAATGGCAGAAATTGTGGGAGTGGGCGAAAGCAGATTCCTCATACCACTAGCTAAAATCCATGTGGTATGGGAAGGTTTGGAAAGTGTTTTGGCTGTGGGCATAATGGAACGCCTCCTAGTTGACCTGCTCCTTGGTAATGATTTTTTCCGTGTAGTTCAGGTTAAAGTATTTGCCTGCAGCAAGAGGCAGTGTTATGCTGTGACCCCCGAGAGAAAGGGTAAGGTCTCAGGACCTGCTGAGAGAATGGTAGAGAATCTCCTTGATTCTTCTGCAGCTGGGGGAAGCCACATGCTCCTAGGTGGGAGGGTGGTTGAGACCAACTCCTGCACTGCAGCTGGAGGCAACACCACATCAGGAAGGGATGCCTGCCAGGGAGAGAACTGTCCAGGTTGTTAGCTGCCAGCAGGTCGCAGCTGAACCAGAGACAAACCCAGCTCTAGGGAGCAGAGAGAAACGTGTCCCAGAGAAGGGGCAGGGGATCCAAGAAACCACTGAGGTGGGTGAGGATTCCTGTGACTCTGTAACACAGAGAAGCAGGGTGCTTCCAAGTATGGGAGGGCCTGAGACTAGCTCCTTTCCAGAAGAATGGTTTCAGAGTAACAGCCGTGTTAGTCTGTATCCGCAAAAAGAAGAACAGGAGTACTTGTGGCACCTTAGAAACTAACAAATTTATTAGAGCATAAGCTTTCGTGGACTACAGCCCACTTCTTCGGATGCATAGAAGAAGGCAACATGCCCTCAGGCGCAGAGACAGGAAAGGTGTTGTCAGTGATTAAAGAAACTGTCCCAGTTGTTAGCTGGCAGAGTTCAATGTGGGTTTGATATGATCAAAAATCTGTGTCCTGTATGCCTGGACTGGTATAAAAGATCAAAGACAGAATGGAACTTGGAATTGAAAGACTTGAGAAGAACCATAAGACTTAGCTGCAGAGATGCACCAGCTCACAGTCTGTGACTAAAGAAATCCATTATAAGGAATTCTCCTTTTTTCTGCCTGCCTTTCTCCTTATTTCCAACTGTAAATACCAAACAAAGAAGACAAAACTGTGCCGCCTGAGAAAAATGCTGTATGAGCCCAGTTGAAAGGAGACCAAAAGGCTGATAAGCACAACTTTATTCTAGAGAAGGATAAATTATAGAATTGTTTTGACATCATGATGGTTGAAGGACAAATAGCTGTAATATGACCAATATTTAAGTCACCACTAGCTTCTTTTTATTATTATGAATGAGTAAAAAAAGTGAATAACTGTCCAGTTACTGAACAAGGAAGGAATTAATGGAGGAGGCCTGGAAATATCAAAGAAATAGAATATTGTTTATCACTAATAATTTACATTAAATATCTTGTTTATAAAACTAGGTTTTTTTCAACATCCACTATTTGGATCTGAAATACAAGCAAATCTGAAAAAGCAGTTTATCAGTTTTCTTATTTCAAACCATACCTACCTTTCCTGCATTCAGTTCAGAAATAGCTGCCAGAATTTGCTGCCTAGATCCATCAGTTTTAATTCCCAGCTCTTTCAAATCACCATCAGTAAGTGTGAGGAAGGCTTCCATATCCACCTTTGGAAAAAAGATACACAGGCATACATTTACTCTGTAGATTGGTTCTCTCTCATATATATTTAACTTTATGAACTTATTTTATATTATTCATTTATTTATATATACTAGAAGAGAAACCCCATGCTGTCAAACAGGTGTGGCAATTGGGCCAAGAAATCCATCATCTGTGCAGTCTCCATGCAACCAATGGAATTGTTGCTTTCAAATTAGCTGTAGAGTAAAGGCAGTGATTGGGTGATATCACAGTGCTCTACACCTTTTGGCATGGATACATGCCTTGCTGTCACACATGTGTAATTCATAACTTTAGAATGGCTGAGAACTTAAAAGCTGGCTGGTAACAAACTGCAAATCCCAGTGATGATTGAAGCTGGTGATATTCTGAACAAAAAGAGCTCTCTTGACTCAACAGACAATCTAGGCTGCCAAGTGACACGCAGGTTCACAGATTTTAAAGCCAGAAGGGACCATTGTGATCATCTAGTCTGACCTCCTGTAGAACATAGGCCATGGAACTTCACGAACATAATTCCTAGAGCACATCTTTTATAAAAAACATCCAATCTTGATTTTAAAATGGTCACTGATGTAAAATCCACCACAACCCTTGGTAAATTATTCCAATGATAAATTACTCTCACCATTAAAAATTTACACATTATTTCCAGCTTGAATTTGTCTAGCTCAGCTTGAATTTGTCTAGCTGACATCATGCTGGGTTTGTTCTTTGAGCATGAGCACCAATATTGATAGAGTGCAGTAACTTCTCACTTAACATTGTAGTTATGTTCCTGAAAAATGCGACTTTAAGCAAAATGATGTTAAGCGAATCCAATTTCCCCATAAGAATTCATGTAAATGGGGAGGGGAGGGGCGGTTAGGTTCCAGGGAAATTTTTTTCACCAGGCAAAAAACTATATATTCATGTGGGGAAAAACAGTGGAGTTTTTTATTTAACATTTACATTTACAAATGTCCATTTTTTCTTAACAGGTCTTTTTGCAAGTATCTTAAAAAACCTCCCATTTTATATTTTAGTTGTCTTCTTGCTTTTACCTATTTTTTCTCATAATTTCTTGGGGTGGCACCATTAATTATTCATTGATTTATCAATTCTGGGCCATAAACCAAAGCCTGGTGGTTTTGCTCCCTTGGTATGGCAGACTTCCAATTAAGTGTCAGGTGGCAGAAGGTATTAGGTTAGACCCCAGATTAGGTGAATGGTTTAGGACATAACATCACATCAGATACCACATTGTGTCCTGTATGGGGTCATATCTGGTGACATCATCCTCTTATCTCTCTCAATCACTCTCTTATCTATCTCATTGTAACAGAAAAATATGATGCTACTAACATTTATATAATATATACCTGTATATACTCGATCATAAGCCGGTTCGTTTATAAGCCAATCCCCCCAAGATGGATAAGTAAAAATTAAAAATGTTTATAACCCGTTCATAAGCCGACCCTATAATTCAGGGGTCAGCAAACTTTGGCTCCCAGTCCATCAGGATAAGCCGCTGGTGGCCTGAGATGGTTTGTTTACCTCGACAGTCCACAGGCACAGAGGTAAACCTAAGTAAATAAAGTGTACCGGCACGCCAGCTGCTTACCCTGACAGGCCGGGCCAGCAACTGGTAGGGAAATTTTTTGGTGGGGAGAAGCTGGGAATCAGGGGAATAACCCCTGTGACCACCCCCCACATGACCCCATCCCTAGCCTGGGACTCCCACACTCTCCCCATCCCATCTCTTCCCACCTTATCTGAGGAGGGCCAGGGGAGGATGTCTCTGGCCTGGCTGGAGCTGCTCCGGCAGGCTGGGCAGCGCAGCCACAGCCTGCTCCAGCAGGCCAGACCAGGCGGTGTGGCCGCAGCATGTTCCAGCGGGCTGGGCCGGTGCTCCGGCGCTTGGGTGGCACGGTCACAGCCTGCTCTGGAGGGCAGGGCCGAGCAGCACGGCCGCAGCCTGCCAGCCCCGGAGCTGCAGCTGCTTCAGAGGCTGAGAAGAGAGCAGCGTGGCCAGAAGCAGAGAAACTCTGGCCCCCCCCTCTTCCCTTCTGGCTCCGCTGGCTGTGCTGCCTCTCCTTGCTCTCTCTGTTGGGGGGAGGGGCTTTGTCCCACCTCTCCCTCTCTATACCCGTTCATAAGCCGACCCCCATCTCTGGTGCTTCCTTTCTTTTACTAAAAAAATTCGAGTATATATGGTACATATTGCAGAAAAACATATTTTAGGAATATTTTATATAGTTTTAATTGGAACTATGTCTTGCAGCCTTCTACCCATAAAGGCAGGTGTCTTGGTAATCAAGTATCAAACTGTGCAAGACTCATAAGGAGGGAAACATTAAAGGTAATAAATGCTAAATACTTCCTAAAATGAACTAAAATAGAAAAACTAAACATAAAACCACCACGGCTTTAAAATCCATTACATCAGGCCCTCCTAGGGCTAAAAGCAAGTGCTACGTGTCCCACTGGCAAGCTAAAAAGTACTCCTACTCAGTGGTACAAAACTCTCATTTCTAGTCCTGCTTGTTGGTGAAATGTTGGATTTCAAAGCTATGACATGTTTATGTATCTAGAAAAGCTGCTATTAAATCTTGCCAATCCTAGTTTTTGGGGTAGGTAATTTTGGGGACAATTACACATTTTGAGACATGGGGCAGAAGGAAATATTTTTCTTGAAGGAGGCTTAAAAAAAAAAGAAGCTCTTTAAAGCAGCTGAGGAGTATGGAATGTCAGAAAAAGCTCCAGGGAAATGGAATACAGTTAAGTGATGCATTCATAAGCATGTGATAAAATGAGTGTTTTCCATTTTTCACATTGATATGACCTCCACATACACAGCATATATATATTTTATAATTAATATTCTTTCTATGATTTTTTGGAACACCTGGTGCTGTTTTTTCCTATTTATCACTTTATTCTCAGATTTGCAGAGCACAGCTTTCCTTTTCATTAAATAATTGGATAAAACAAACAAAAATAATTTCCCTAGGAGAAAAAAAACAGATTTAAATTATAGAAAAATATGTTCCACAAAACCCAAAATGCCACATGCTATTTCTCTTCCTTCTTTAACTTTAGACTCTCACAGCCAAGTATAATGCTCAAAAAAATTCACTTACATTTTTGGGCACTGACCCTGAAAATACATGATTGCCTTTATGCACATGAATAGTCCCATTCACTGGGCCTGTTCATGTGTGCAAACTTAAATGCATGTGTTTAAGTGTGTATAGAATTGTAGGGTGTGGAGAGAAGTGCCAGGGGGCCTTTCTGCCCATAATATACAGTCTAGTTTTGCACTTCTCAAAATAACTTTTTTTAGCATGCGCATAGCTCAACACCCATGTCTGCTACAATAAACCTTTGTTTGCAGTGGTGGTGTAACTGTATTGGTTCCAGGATATTAGAGAGACAAGGTGGGTGAGATAATATCTTTTATTGGACAACTTCTGTTGGTGAAAGAGGCAAGCTTCTAAGCTTACACAGAGCTCTTCTTCAGGTCTGGATTAAAAAAACATAAGCTTTTCAAACTGTCATGGACAGAATGGTTTTTGGGACCTAATTTTCAGAAGCTAGGTGCTCAGCATTTTCTGCAAATTAGGCCCATGTAAGGTGTCTCAGTTTGGTATCCAGAAATTGTGGCACCTAAAATTCTGAGTCACTACTGAAAATTCAGATCATACATTTTAAGACCGGAAGGGACCATTATGATCGTCTAGTCTGATGTGTTATATAACACACAACATGGAATTTCACCCAGTGATTCTTACAGTGGAGGCAATTATCTTCCCTATTATGTAGGTGAATATTATTCAAGCCCAATATTTTGTGGCTGAGCTGAATAACCTTTATGTGTGGCCCTGAACACTCTGTGGTACAATGGGGCCAAATTCTTCTACATGCACCCAGACGTTCTGTGGCAATGTTAATGGGGGGGAGGGATAGCTCAGTGGTTTGAGCATTGGCCTCCTAAACCCAGGGTTGTAAATTCAATCCTTGAGGGGGCCACTTGGGGATCTGGGGCAAAATCAGTACTTTGTCCTGCTAGTGAAGGCAGGGGCTGGACTCAATGACCTTTCAAGGTCCCTTCCAGTTCTAGGACATGGGATATCTCCATTAATTTAAAATTTATTGTATGTCCATGAAGTACTCTTCATTCTCATCCTCTATCCATCTACAAACAAGCACACAATTTTGGCTCAGAATGGAAAGTACTCATTAATGAAAAAAATTTGATGATTATTTTCAGCGAAGGTTTTCGTGCATTCTCCAGGCAGCTCAGTTCTTCAGCTGCCACGTGCTGTCTGCATAGTCCAGTTCAAACCCCCTAACCCTCATCTGTTCAGGAAAAGGAGATAGTAGCCTGCTTCAGTGGCTCGTCTTCTTGCCCACCCCCCTACCCCAAGCACTGTTCTCTCTACACTGCTGGCTCCTCCCCACTCTGGTTGTACACTGGATTCCAACTTTGGCTTCATGGAGCACTGTAGAGGAATATAGAGTATAATCCAATTAATGCCATCGTGTGGAAAGATATATAGGGAAGAGACAGCTGCTGGCAGGTGCCAGCAGGGCAGGGAGACAAAAAAAAAAAAGTTGGGTATCTGGTCTGTGGCACTACGGCAAAGTCAGTAGAAAACATGTTGAATTTTATGGCATTCTGGGAAAATGCCACATTCCACAGCCGCCGAATGACAGAATCCAGGGAGACCTGACTGAGATGAAGGGAGTAGCTCACACCTCTCAGATTTATTGTTTCATGCTATCTTCCTGATTATGCAGACTCATCACTATATCTTTTAATATTCGGTTCACATTTTCCAGGTTATTGCTGCAACTAGAAATACTAGAAAGAAGCCAGGTATTTTTTGAATTAAAATTGAGATTTTAGATAACAGTTCTGCAGCAAAGAGTAAATTGTGCTGCAAACTGCACAGCTATAGTGAACACAGAGCCATGATTTTACTTGGATAATAAAATACAGGTTTCAAACAGATAAGTAGATTATTCATGCTAAAATGCTGAAATAAAATACTGAAACACTTAAAACTTAAAAAACAAAAAAACGCCTTACCTCCTGTTCTTCAAAAATGGGCTGATATTTCTCAAGCGACAATTTTTTAAGGATACTAGTCAGCTCATCTTTAACAACAGAAAAGAAAAAGAAACAATGTTTAAAACAATTCAATTTTGGTAACCTGTGGGGAAAATATATTGAACTGATGAAGATATACAGAAATTAAAGCAAACTTCCAGGAACCCACTCATACAAAATTGCAAAACAAGATTGTCTTTATTCTATACATATACAGTAGGTGAAAATGCATCTCACTCCCATGACCTACTATACTAAACTGTACTTGTTAGACATCTAGTCTTACCTTTAACTACATTTTACATGCAATTATGTTACTGGCACTAGAAAAGGTTCAGAAAAGGGCAACTAAAATGATTAGGGGTTTGGAACGGGTCCCATATGGGCAGAGATTAAAGAGGCTAGGACTCTTCAGCTTGGAAAAGAGGAGACTAAGGGGGGATATGATAGAGATATATAAAATAATGTCACTTATATTAACAGGTGTGTTGTGAGCAAGACACAAGAAGTCATTCTTCCACTCTACTCTGTGCTGGTTAGGCCTCAACTGGAGTATTGTGTCCAGTTCTGGGCACCGCATTTCAAGAAAGATGTGGAGAAATTGGAAAGGGTCCAGAGAAGAGCAACAAGAATGATTAAAGGTCTTGAGAACATGACCTATGAAGGAAGGCTGAAAGAATTGGGTTTGTTTCGTTTGGAAAAGAGAAGACTGAGAGGGGACATGATAGCAGTTTTCAGGTATCTAAAAGGGTGTCATAAGGAGGAGGGAGAAAACTTGTTCACCTTAGCCTCTAAGGATAGAACAAGAAGCAATGGGCTTAAACTGCAGCAAGGGAGGTCTAGGTTGGACATTAGGAAAAAGTTCCTAACTGTCAGCGTGGTTAAACACTGGAATAAATTGCCTAGGGAGGTTGTGGAATCTCCATCTCTGGAGATATTTAAGGGTAGGTTAGATAAATGTCTATCAGGGATGGTCTAGACAGTATTTACTCCTGCCATGCGGGCAGGGGACTGGACTCGATGACCTCTCGAGGTCCCTTCCAGTGCTAGAATCTATGAATCTATGAATCTATGAAAATCATGAGTGATGTGGAGAAAGTGGATAAGGAAAAGTTATTTACTTATTCCCATAATACAAGAACTAGGGGTCACCAAATGAAATTAATAGGCAGCAGGTTTAAAACAAATACAAGGAAGTTACCTTCACGCAGCGCACAGTCAACTTGTGGAACTCCTTACCTGAGGAGGTTGTGAAGGCTAGGACTATAACAGCGTTTAAAAGAGAACTGGATAAATTCATGGTGGTTAAGTCCATTAATGGCTATTAGCCAGGATGGTTAAGGAATGGTGTCCCTAGCCTCTGTTTGTCAGAGGATGGAGATGGATGGCAGGAGAGAGATCACTTGATCATTGCCTGTTAGGTCCACTCCCTCTGGGGCACCTGGCATTGGCCACTGTCGGTAGACAGGATACTGGGCTGGATGGACCTTTGGTCTGACCCGGTACGGCCGTTCTTATGTTATGATGGAAATTGGAAGTAAGCCCCAAAGCCTGGATGACTACAATTTCTCTGTCTCTTCAAACTAAGGTTCCAATAACCTGTATGGAAGTTAAATCACTTTAGCTATTTTTCCCATCACTCATCTCCCTCCCAGGTTGGTCACAAAACAGGGAGGGAAGGGTCATTCAAACCACAAAATACAGAAAGCTCATACTGGCTGGAGATGGCGGGGTGAAAGGGGTACAAAAGAGGCCTTTATGATTACGATACCCCACATTCATCCTGCTTTTTCTTCTTCCTCCCACAGCATCCTGCCCCATGATATTTAATGCTATATTTATTTCTGAGTTCAACATATTGAAAACTATCCTTTACAATGGTCTCTTTTTTTCTTAAGGTAGTCTATCTAAGCAATCTAAACATTATGAATTAATAACAGTTCACAAAGCTTGTTTCCACACAGAGAGAGACTGGGGTATGATCTGTGATGTTAACTTTTAACTGTAAGGGAGAATGTGATAAAAAAAATGTATTGACCTGTGTGTATATTTTGTAGGGTAAGAGAAATAACTGTAATCTTTATATTTCATTTTTACACTTCTCCCGTCATATCTGAGCGTAGTTTAAATGGTGCTTATTCCTTCATCTTTGGGAAGTCTGCAATGTGCCCTTGTGACATTGACAGACTGGTCAACTTGGGTATGACCCATAACAACTTAACAAGAGGCTTGAAATGTTATCAAGACAATGTACTTGTATATGAATTTCAAAGAGATGCTCTAGACCAGGGGTCGGCAACGTTTGGCATGCGGCTCACCAGGGTAAGCATCCTGGCAGGCCGGGCCAGTTTATTTACCTGCTGACGCGGCAGGTTTGGCCAATCGCGGCCCCCACTCGCCGCTGTTCACCGTCCCGGGCCAATGGGGGCGGCGGGAAGCGGCACAGGCGAGGGATGTGCTGGCTGTTGCTTCCCGCCACGCCCATTGGCCCGGGACGGCGAACCGCGGCCAGTGGGGGCCGTGATCGGCCGAACCTGCCGTGTCAGCAGGTAAATAAACTGGCCCGGCCCGCCAGGGTACTTACCCTGGCGAGCTGCATGCCAAACGTTGCTGACCCCTGCTCTAGACCAGTAATCACTAACCCATTTATTTGTAGCAACAGAAATCAAGGGTAGATGCTAAGTGACTTTGTCTGTGTTTACCTGTATCTTGTTAGAAGTTTAACAATGTAACCAGATTAGTTTATAGATGCTAATTCCCTTTCCTGTCTTAACTACTTTATAATATGCAAGCCAATGGGTCAGTTAACCTTAAAATCAAAGATGTAAGATACTGCATAAAACTAACCATATCATCTATATTCTCTTCAACTTAATTGTCTATGCTATAATGAACTGCTGGCTAATTGCATTATGTGAATGAATGCAACTAATTTACCTGTGTATGCATAGGAAATGGAAGATTAGCTTCAAAGCAACAATCTGCACTGCTTATTCTTCCCTGGGGGGGGGAGGGAAGGGGGCGGGGGAGGAGTGCCCTGCTATGACAAGAGGCTTGTCAGCTTGTTAGGGAACTATAGAGGAAAGCCCCACCCCTGATCCTGATATTTATAGTCTACTTAAACTTTGAACAGGGAAAGTCTGAGTCATAAGACACAGATTTTCCAAATAACGTTTTGGAATAACATGGAAATGCACAGAAAGACTTGAACAGACTCTACCCCTGGACTGTCTATTGGACTATAACTTTTTAGACTGATTCCAGAAAGATTTGTATAAATCAGCAGCCTCACAATCTCTGCTATGAAACTGACCTAAGGATTTTACACATATTTGTATGTAAATTGATCTTTTCGCCTTTTGCAACTCTTTTCTTTCTTTTTCCTTTTATTATTAAACCGTTAGTCTTTTAATTACTAAAGGACTGTCATCTGCATGATTATTGGGTAAGATCTGAGACTCATATTGACCTGGGAATAAATGTCCGGTCCTTTGGGATTGGTGAACATCACATATGGTGAATCCAGTTTTCAGTAACCCCTCACTATATTAGATTTGGCTGTCTAGATGGGGACCAAGGGCTGGAATGCTTAAAGGGGATTGTATTTGGCTTCTTGCTAATCAATGTGGTGTTACAGAAGCTGTTTTGTTACTCGCTTGGTGAATCTCATTATAGAATAAACTACCAGTTTTGGAGATCGTCTTCCCTATTCCCTGCAGTCTGCCCTGAGTGTAGCATTCTCAGTGTGGCCCATCCAGGCACTTGGTCACAGCCCCATCAAGCTTTGATTCTATAGTGCAACTGAAGCTCCTGCCTACCACAAGTTCCCCTCCTCTAAACATGTCTAGAATCTTAAAGCAGGTGTTGAATGCCAACAGCTCTTGATTTAGAAGCACATATGGGCCCCACTGGAAGCATTTTCTTCTACTAAGATTCTACTAAAATAGACAGTTGCCTCTGTGCTAAGTGGAAGCAGACTTTGTGGCCTGGCAGATTGGCTTCCCTTTGGAGGAGAAATCAAGGATGCCAAGTCAGGATATTTTCTTAATTTCAAGTTATTTATTTACACTCTGTACACTTGCTCTTGAACTGCAGTGGGTCACAAACAACATACATGCAATTCCCTCTCTCAGGAATCTCAGCCCTAACTCTACTGCCTGGTTCCCAGGAAGCCACTCTGCTCCAAGCAATTATCTCTAGTTAGAAAGATTAGGGCAGAAAGCAAACCACACTTACTGTTTTCAACAACTACCCCAAAGAATGTCCATCACAAATGTAACAAAAATACAGCATTTTTTCAAAGACTGTACACTGTTCACATGCTAAGAACGTAAGATTATGAGTTAACAGCACCACTCAGTAATTCCTGACATAATAGTAACTACCTTTCACGACTTGCAGTTTTCTTTCATGAGGGGAAAAGACAGTTACCTTTTCCGTAACTGGCGTTCTTCGAGATGTGTTGCTCATGTCCATTCCACAATAGGCGTGTGTGCTCACCACGTGCACTGGTGCAGGAAGTTTTTCCCCTAGCAGTACCCGTAGGGGAGCACTCCTAGCAACCCCTGGAGTGGCGCCTCTATGGCGTGGTATAAGGGGCACTGCATGCTCCCCTACCCTCAGTTCCTTCTTGCCAGACAACTCCAACAGAGGGGAAGGAGGGCGGGATGTGGAATGGACATGAGCAACACATCTCGAAGAACACCAGTTACAGAAAAGGTAACTGTCTTTTCTTCTTCGAGTGATTGCTCATGTGCATTCCACAATAGGTGATTTCAAGCTATATTTGTTGGAGGTGGGAAGGAGTTCACAGACTCTCAGGACAGAGTACAGCCCTGCTGAACCCAGTGTTCTCCCTGGTTTAGGAGACGATCGCACAATGTGAGGTGAATGTGTGAACCGAAGATCATGTGGCAGCCCTAAAAATGTCCTGAATGGGGACATGGGCTAAAAAGGCAGCTGACGAGGCTTGCGCCCTCATTGAGTGTGCCTTCACAATCGGCCGCGGGGGGACTCCTGCCAGGTCGTAACAAGTACAAATACACAA